GAAAACCGGAAGTGGCGCTGTAGCTCAAGTGGTAGAGCACTCGCCTTGAGCTGAAGAGCTGAGGGACAGCGCCCAGGCCCAGAGTTCAAGCCCTACAACCGACAAAAAAAAAAAAAAGAAAATGTAGGTCTAGGGGTTGACGTTCTGGTGACGATGGCTTCTTACTGTTTACAGGTGGCCACCTTTTTGCCATACTCTCATATAGTAGGAAGAGAGAAAAGTGGGGGTGGGAATATCTTCTTCACAGGGCTCCCTCCTAATTTATTGGTTCAGCTAAAACTAATGACCTCCCAAAAGTAATACTTCTTAGGAGACCACAGTCCATCCCATTGCAGATCAGGGCTTTAATACAGATGCAAACATTCCATTTACAGCAACAATGAAGGTGACAGAAATTTAGCTAAGGAGCTTAATGTTCTCTTGTGAATAAAAGAAGAGTCACATTTACTTCTGTTCAGTGTTCCCTACAAGAAAAGCCATGTGAGTCTTAGGGAAACTCCTGGTGGAAGGTGTGTGTACAGACATCTAACCTTGGGCAGAGTTTTGAAAGTGCACCTTCTTTATTTTTGTGCCAGTCTTGAGCCTTGAACTCAGGGTCTGGGTGGTGTCCTTGAGCTTTTTTCTCAAGGCTTAGTATCACTGTACCACTTGAGCCAGATCTCCATTTCTAGCTTTTTTGGGGGTAGTTTATTAGAGATAAGAGTCTCACAGACTTTCTTGCCCAGGATGGCTTCCAACTATAATCCTTAGATCTCAGCCCCCCGAGTAGCAAGGATTATAGGAATGAGGCACTGGTACCTGCCAAAGTGCTCCTTCTTGCCCTGGAAACATCCAAACATGTCAACTTTATTCAGCAGAATAAAATCACTTTTAGCAATCTGTTTACCTTTTGGAATCTTCTTGCCCTTAGATTTTGGTCTGGTAGTTACTTCACTATTGCTGTTATCTCTTTTGTGCACTGAAAAATATATATTTGGTATTTTGCCTATTATATGCAATTCTTGATTTAAATAACCTAGCTTGCCACATCTTGGAAAGGTAAGTGAATACCATCATTTTTAAATGAGTTGTTTTGAGACAGGATATTGCTATGTAGCTCAGGCTGGCCTACAACAAAAGGTCTTCCTGTCTAGCCTCCTGAATGTGGGGATTATAAATGTGTGCTACCGTGCCCAGTTGAAAAAGCCTTTTAACCTGGGGGTCTATGCTTGGATTTTTTTCTTGAAATTGTAGGTAATGTATTGACTTAATGAAAGTTATCTGGGAACAAAGTCCATAAATTTGATCAGACTGCCAAAGGTGTGATTGAGACCCCATATTTGGGAACTATGGCTTGGCTTTAGAGTTGTATCAGTACTTTTACTTTTTTTTAAGCTTACACTAGTTATAGAGGGGGAAAGATTTCATTGTTACTTTTCTACACATGTTTACATTATATTCCAATTATTTCACCCCCTCTATCAGTAATTAATATTTAAAAAAATTGATTTTTAGGGCTGGGAATGTGGCTTAGTGGTAGAGTGCTTGCCTATCATGTATGAAGCCTTGGTTCGATTCTTCAATACCACATAAACAGAAAAAGCCGGAAGTAGTGCTGTGGCTCAAGTATAGAGTGCTAGCTTTGAGCAAAAGAAGCTCAGGGACAGTGCTCAGGCCCTGTGTTCACGCCCTAGGACAGGCAAAAAGATTTTCAAATAATTTCAAATTCAAGAAAAGTTACAAGTATAGCATAAAGCAACTCCTGTCCTGCCCTCACCCAGATTCAACAATTACTAAACCATCAATCACTCTCATAACATATAGTTTCTCTGAGCCACTTGAAAACAAGCTTCAGAACTGATTTTCTATCATTTTTTTCCAGTATCTCCCCCCAACAAGCAAGGATCTCTTAAAACAGGAAACCAACCATACCATACAATGGTTCACATTCAACGGTCAGTTTGCCAGCTGTCCCAAGAATGTCTTTTTCTCATTCATTAATTCATTCCAGTACTGGGTTTCAAACCCAGGGCTTTATGAATGCTAGACAAATACTCTACCATTGATCTATACCCACAGGTGCATATCTTACTTTCACATTTTTTTATCGTTTGCCAATACTGGGATTTGAACTTCAGGCCTCAAACTAGCTAGACTTACTTTCTCATCTGATGCTCCACCATTTTAAGGTTGAGCCTCAGAAACTTTTCCGTCTATCCTGTATTTGAACCACAATCCTCTGGAGTAGCTAGGATTACAGGCATGAGTCTCCAACATCGGCTTTTTAATGTTATTATAAAGATGATGTACAGGGGGTTACAATTATGTAAGTCAGGCAAAGAGTACCTTTCTTTTTGGACAATGTCACCCCTTCCCTCACTCTCTCTCCGCTTTTCCCTCCCACCCCACCCACAAGTTGTATACTTTGAACACAGCAACTAGTGTTAGTTTGTGTGTGTAAGTTTTCTTGTTTAGGATCCAATCCAGGAACATACACTGCTTTTAGGCTTACTTTCAAGGGCAGTCCTTCAGATTTCTCCATGTAATTATGTCCTTGACAGTTTGAAAGAAGACAGCCCTTCTGGTTTGTAGGCCAATCTGTACTGTAGCTCTTCGGAAGGGAACAACTCAACCACACATTCTTGGCAAACTTTGCTTTTTTAATTATGTCCATCCATCCTATACTGGTCATCTTAACCTTGATCATCTACTCACCTCGATGTCATCACTGTAAAATTCTGGTTTTCCTCTTCTTACTTCTGGAACATATTCCAACCATGTGCCTGTTCCTCATCAAAACTTCATTCACCAGTCTTAGCTTCCATAAACAAAGATCCTTTCAGGGGAACTGAAAAAAAAATGATTAGGAAATAACACATATTGATACATCCATATCCATATGTAACTATTTCTAGAACTACCTATTTACAGTTTTTCAAGTGAGTTCATAATAATACTTGTGTTTCTACCCTGTACTTTTCCATGTTGACATTTTCTCTAACAGAGGAAAACCTAACCATCTGTATTCTTTTTATGTATAAGGCAGGGAGGGGTAGTAGGACTTGAATTCAGGGCCTTACTTTTTTTTTTTAATCAAGCCTGGCTTTCTACCACTTGGCTCTCTAAATCCACCTCAGGCTGGCTTTGAACCATGATCCTCAGATCTCAGCCTGTTGAGTAGCTGGGCTTACAGGCATGAGTCACTGAGGTATGGCTAACCATTTTTATTCTTACTATGTTTACAATTGTTCAACTAAATGAATTTCTTTCTCTCTCTTTTTTCCTTTTGGTGGTACTGGTGTTTGAATTCAGGACCTTATGCTTGCTAGTCAAGTGTTCTACCCTTCGAGACACAACTCCAGCCCTACCCTCAAGTTATTTCTTATAATGCACTTGGGTCTTACTTCAAGGAAGAGAAATAGAAAAGTAAGATGAAAGGAAAAAAAATAGGAAGAGAAGCTGAGGTGGGGGGAATCTAATGTTTAAAATGTCATAAATTGCCTTTAATAACTTAATGCCAAAAATGTTAAACTTTAAATGGTTTGGTTTGTGTGGTGTGGTGTGTGTGTGTATGTGTGTGTGCGTGCGCGCGCAGGGCTTGAACGCAGAGCCTCACGATTGCTAGACAACTTCTTTATTACTTGAGCCACACCCCTAGTCCTTTTGCCTTTATTTTGTTTTCGAAATACAGTCGCTATAACTTTGCCCATGCTGAAATTAAACTCATGATCTTCTCTCCTCTGCCTACTAAGTAGCTGGTATTACCGGTGTACACAACCACACCCAGCTATGCTTCTTCTGCAGCAATTCTATGCCATTGTTGGAAGGTCACCTGCTGGCTATAATTTTAAACTCATAATTAAAAGCTAAGGGTTTAATGTTAGTAAGATGCCACAGATGTCAAATCAGTGAGGCTTAAGTGAAGGCCAGAAGTCAGACTTGTCCCTTAATTCTTCTTTCTCTTCCAGTTTGGGTACAACATAAGGCTAGTTACTAATCTACTGTGAATCTGATGGCTCATCTGTAAAATAGGTATATTACCTTAGGTGAGTGTTACTCATATTCACTGGATGTAATAAGAAGTTTGGTTAATCACTGTTATTGTTATAGTTAGTGTCATCCCATGTGTCCCTTCTGTTTGAATTAGTTTCTCATTACTATAATAAAATACAGCTTTTTTTTCTTTCTTAGTACTGTCAGGCCAGTAGGTAGTTTACTACTTGAGCCACAGCCCTGGCATGAGACTGCCATCACCCTACCTATGCCTCCTGTATCCTTGAGATTTCAAGGAAGTCCCACCATGTCTGACTTGCTTGATGAAATGGGGTCTCACTAACTTTTTTTTGTTATTAAGCCTGGGCTGACTTGAAACTGCTATCATCTGGATCTCCAGAGTTGCTAGGATTATAGGTATGAGGCACCATGCCTAGGCTGACACATGCTACTCAGAAGGAAAAAGACTTATTAGCTCAGCGGTTTGAGGTATCAGGGCACTTGGTACCTACCTACACAAGCTATTGTGGTGGGGTGGTGGAGCAAGTGGTTCTATCTTGATTCAGGAGCAGAGAATGTGGTTGGGGGCCAAACTTGGGCTATTTTTGTTTTTGAGAACACCAGATCACAGGACACATTCTCATTCTCTCCTTTCTCCCCACAATAAACCTCTAGATCTTACCTTTGTCTACTGCCAAGAGATTCACATACCTACCCTAAGTATATTTAGTTCTTCAGCAAATCTCTCTCAATCTTTCCCTCTTATGTAGTTAATCTGATGGGCCCAATGATTCTGTTTTCTGTTCTATCATAGGCTTTACAGAGTGTGAGTTCTTGTTGGGGATGGGTAGGAAGGTTGGGGTTATGGAAAAGTAGCATCAAATTTAGCTTCTTAGGAAAAATACAAATACCTTGACAGAACGTCTGCTCAACTCTCAAGGTCAGACCTCAAAACCACTGGGTCCTTGTTACTGTGGCAAGATGAGTTTGCCTTGATTAGTATGACTTTGTCAAATCGGTGACATTACCAAGGGCTACTGTTTTTGAAGAGCTCCATCTCATTTTCTTAATTTTAAGCCTCCCTATCGATAAGGATCAAAGACAGGCCTTCCTCAATTCAATATTATTAATATTCTTGAAGCTCTTTTTCAGTCTGTTATTTTAAAACACAGGTTGCAAAGCCTTTCTGGCTTTTGGTCAGACAACTGTAAGGTGCAGTGTTTCTTATCTGTATTTTGCACGAGCACACAGCTGTAATAAGTTGGGTTTCATTGTGATCGTTGTTTTTTTTTTTTCTCCCCAGCAGTGCTGGGGGTTGAACTCGGGGCTCTGCGCTTGCTAAGCAGGCCCTCAACGGCTCAAGTCAAGCCTCTGCCCTCAATGTGATATTTCCGCGTGTGCACCTAATGCACTTGGAAGACAATCACCGCATCATCTTCCCGTTCCTCCTTCCCCTCTTCCTCTCCGGCACTTCCTCAGTTTAGAGAAGCAGCCAAGGATTCTTGGCCAAGTTGGCTCTCCTCGCTCTCCCGGCACCCGCGTGGCGCGGGCTCGGTGGGCGGCCTCCGTTCTCGCCGGCATCCGCGCCAGGTTACCTGAGCGGCGGCTAATACCCGACTCCGCCTCAGCGACTTCGCGCCGGGAGCCACGCTAACCCCCTGCTTCTTTTTCCCGTCTTTTTGCACTCAGTGGCGTTCCTGTGCCTCCTCAGACCGAGCACCCAGGACCCGCGCGCCGGGGCGCCCGGACGC